AGCCCCACCTTGTCCAGGTAGCTGTTGCCCGTGCCGGGCTTGCGGCGGCCGGAGGCGGCGCCGTCCACCAGCAGGGTGACATAGTAGGGCAGGATGGCCACCAGGTCGATGAGCGTCAGCGGGCTCCGCAGGAAGGCGAACTTGCTGGGAGCTTGGATGAACCGCAGGAGGAACTCCAGCGAGAACCAGCCCACGCACACCGACTCCACGATGAAGACGTTGTGGCACATCTGGGAACACTGGCCCTGGGGGGAGGGAGCCGTCAGCCGTCCCACCCGCGACCCCGCAGGCAGCTCTGCCCTGTGCAGGCGCCGGGCTCCCGGAGGAAAAGGACCTGGGACTGGCCCGCCTGCCTCTCCTGGTGTGGCCAGGGCCCTCTCTAGACCTGTCCATTCCCAGGCCGTTACAAACTATGTCACTTCTCCCTCCAGCCTAGACCTCAGCCCGGCCTCCAAACGCCCGCCAGCCGCCTCCCTGATGTCCCTCGCAGGTATCCGCAGGGACTCCTGGCATCTCCCTGTTCCCACCTGCCTGTGGCAACCCCGTCCTTCCAACTGCTCGGCCTCATGCTTACCTCCTCTTTCTCCTGCCTTACACACAATCTGCAGGGTCTTTCACTGGCTCTTCATGTAAAGCAACGCTAGAAGCAAGCCGCTTCCGTCTCTGCCCTGGCTCCTGCGCTGGTCTGGCCACGATCCTGGACAGCTGCAGTCACTGCCACTCTGAGTGCGCTCCTCCCTACAGCCCACTTTCTCACACAGAGGGACCTGAGGCCATTCACAGGGTCCCATCCTTCCTCTGCTGGGGACCGTCCATGGCTCAGAGAACAAGTGATGTCTTTCCTGTTCCATGGTGCACATGGCCGACCTGTCCGTCCGTCCGTCCATCCTTCCATTCCTGCCTGCCCTCTGACTGCCTTGCTGCCCGCTCCCCTCCTGGCTCACCTGCTCCACCACGCAGACCTCTTAGTCGCTCCCCTAACACTTCAGCCCAGCCCTCAGCTCCGCCTGCTCCTCCTCCAGCTGTGTCTCCTTTCATCACCCCCTGCTCAGGGAGACCTTCTGGACCCCTTTTCTTTGAGAACCCCTCCTTCTCTTGTACCCCCTCCCCCTCATTCTGTTCTATTTGTTCACAGCTCATCTTATTTTCCTGGGCGCTGCGAGTCACCTATTGTCTGTCTCCACCTCCCAGCAGGTCACAGCCACGTTCACTGTCTAGACCTCACTGGCAGCCAGACACACGGCAGATGTTTGACACATGGCTTTAGCGGAACAGTGAGGCTTAGATGTATGTGTGTGTGTTACTCAGAACCATGAGGGACCAGGCAGGCACAGGAAGGAGGGAGGTGGGGGGAGGGACAGACCCCCCTGGAGAGCCCCTAACTTTGCCCCAGAGAAATTCAGGTTAAGGCTGCTTGAAGAAGCTTTTAAGAGAAGCTGGAAATCTGCAGTTTTATGTTCAATCCCCTGGTGATAACTGTTGGTTAAATAGATAATATGTTAATTCAAGTGCTGGTGATAAAACGCAAGACAGAAAATATAGCACAGGCCAGGAAACAGCTTCACACTGGATCTGGCCCACAGGCTTCCAGCCTCTCCGCTGGTCTGCAGCACCACTGGACAGTAGACAGTTTTCATTGGGTTTGGACCCCAGCCTTAAGGCAGCCTTGGGCAGCAAAGAAAGGCACACATGTCCCACCTGCAGCCTCCTGTAGGCTCTTGATTCACAGCTGGGCTCCATGATTGGCCTCTAGTTGGTCTCTCAAGGAATGTGCTACGTAAGAGGCTGGAGATGTGTATGAATACCTGGGGCTTTGATGTCAAAGCCTTCCAGGACTGCACACCCTCTGAGTAGCTCTAGATGGGCATGGGGTAGACCAGAAGCTACCTGAGGCTGAAGGTTGGCCCGCTCTTCCTGCCTCCCCTGCAGTGCCCGCATAAGAAGGCACTTAACTGTGCACACAAGGACCACATGAAACAGTGAACCCCACTGGACCCCAAATGAAGCGGAGAAACAACAGAGTTGATTGAATCATACAAAAGGCCAGGAATTATTAAGAAGCAGTATCGGGCCAGGGCTATAGCTCAGTGCAGAGCACTTGCTAAGCGCGCGCAGTGCCCTGAGTTCCATCTCCAGCACTATAAAAAAGAAAAAGAGGAAGGAAGTCCTGTACGAAGGAAGGAATCTGTACGAAGTCCCTGGACCGCCAGACAGATGTCATAGGGAGTGTGCTTGCTCCTTGGGCAGCAGGTGTGTGTGAATCCTCACAGCCAGTGCTCCCCGCCCCACATATGTGCCAGGCACTATTCCAGGCACCTCACACAGGCTCAGCCGCTCCCTCGACAGGGGGGATACAGAGGCACAGACAGGCCTAGAAACCTGACCGGGTATACAGTGCCTGGCTCTTGCCTGCCCTCTAGGCTCATCGGAAGTTAATTTTGTTGGTTGAGTGCTGTTTTCTTAATATCCTTTTTAAAAATTCAAAGTCTAAAAATTGTGCCAGTGAATCTCTGTAGGTCACAAATGCCACAGCACTGTTGCCTCCTCTGCATGTGGAATGTCTCACACGGTGAGCACCTCCAATGCCAAGTCAGAGTGCACAGGAAATGGGGGGGCATCTACAGGGTATACAGCTGGTGCTCGATAAATGCAGGCTGCTCTGATATCTAGCTACAGTTCCCACTGCATACCTAGTCCTCAAAAGTCTATATGACTTGTTCCTGTCTGACGCTTTCTGGTTTTTCTCACAACTTGCTTCAAGGGGCCACTTCTCAAAGAACCAGGGGTCTAATACATAAGGAAGCTGAACCCAAGGGAAATCTCACTTATGGACTCAGCTCCCTGCTACAACTGTCAAACAGGATGGCAGGCCAGCGGGTGAGCTTGTGCCTGCTGAGCACAATACTCTTCCACTGGGCTACACACTGAGCCCTGACCTTATGCTTTTTAAGAGGAACTTAGAGTTTGCATTTTTAAAACTTTTTTTTTTTTTTTTGCTGTGCTGGGATTGAACTGGGGATCTTTACTTGAGCTACATCTGCAGCCCTTTTTTCATTGTTCAATTTTGAGACAAGGCCTTGCTAAGTTGCTGAAATGTCTGCGCTGGCTTTGAACGTGCCATCCTCCTGACTCGGTCTCCCAGACGGCTGGGATGGTTGGCACACAGCACCACACCCAGCTAGTGCCTGCATGGAAGCGTTTGGGGAACTGCTGTGCAGGCCGGTGACAGACCTGCGTGGTCACGCTGGGTCCCAGGCTGCCACGGGGATACACATTTCCACGTTTAAGAGCAGGCTGCGGATTCAGTCAACCCGGGCTTGGCAGGCTGTAATGCCCGCCTCAGTGCCCTCCTCTGCCGCCCGAGTGGGTGCGAGAGCGCCTCCCCACAGGGTTCCCGAAGGATTCAGGGAGAGGATGAGAGGAGGCGGAGCAGCAGTCCGGCTTAGGCTCCCTACTGCTGGGTACCGGAGCCTGGGGCTGGAGCCGCCCGGCTGTCAGGGCTGGGAGTCAGTACACACATTGTTTCATGTACATAGGCTCCCGACCAGGGACACACGCACACACCTATCAATAAAAATCATTTTCCAGACCCAGGAAGTGTGTCTGGGCTCTAATTATGCAGGGGAATTAGGAAAGCTGAGAAAAGACTGAGTCGGTAGGATGAATACTGGTGACAGCCGCCTCGCCCTGCAGGTCCAGGAGATGTGGGGGACAGCGGGGCCCAGGACAGTCCCATGGTGACGGGGTGGCAGACTACGAATGCAGTCACACTAACAGCTAATCAGCTGCCTGTGGTCAGGACAGGCTTCCCACAGGACGTGGGGCGGCGGGTGGCCCGGAGGGGGGCAAGCCAGCGGACCCTTCCCTGCCACAGCCAGGCTCCTTACCTGCTCCTCCTCCTCTCTCAGGCTGGGCAAGGTGCTGACCGAGAGGTTGACCGCGGTGACGGTGACAAAGAGCACAGACAGGCAGGCGAACACCTTGCCCGGCAGCCCCGAGTGCGGCCTCTCCACCATGTCGCGCAGTCTCCGCATGCAGCGGCTCAGGCGGCCCTCGCCTGTCACGGAGCTGTCACTGTTGCGAGCCTCGCTGTCCAGCGCGTCCTCCTCGTCTTCCCGCTCCACCATCTCGGCGAACTCCTCGATCTTCTGCAGGTAGCGGCGCTTGCAGCATCCGTCCAGGTGGTCCTCGGCGATGCCCCAGTACAGCAGCTCTTCCTGGAAGGACAGCGCGCACATCTCCCGGAGCAGCCGCAGCTTCCCGGCGCGCAGGAAGGTGAGGATGGTGCCGAAGGCCCCGGGGTTGCGGTCGAAGAAGAACTCGTTGCAGGTCACGTCGTAGTCATCGCACACACTGAGGATGTCGTCGAAGTTGGTGCAGGTCTTGAGCTGGCCCAGCCGCGTCAGGGGGAACTCATCCAGCGTGGTCCAGGGCAGCGAGTACTTGATGCCGCCCACGTTGATGATGATCTGCCGGCGCCGGTCCCCGGGGCCCGGGGTGTCCTGCGGGCGCAGCCGCTGCGCTCGGCGGTAGAATACGCCCTTGAGCGCCTGGCTCTGTGGGAAGAAGGCCGGGTGGAAGGAGGCGTCCGACCTGCAGCTCAGGGCGCTGTAGTCGTAGTCTGAATTGTCTCCCGGTAACAGGGTCATTTTGGGCCTTTACATCCCTCTGGGGCCTGGGGGGAGAAGGGGGAAAGACCCTTGGTGACCCCCGTGGATCCGCGGGACACTCGCTGCTGGGGCCTGAGGCTCTGCGCCCGCACCCTGCGGCCCCCAGGTTGAAGCCTGAAATATATCGTGGAGAGATTAGCAGGTACAGGATTTGGGAGGTGGCTAAGGTGAATGAGGACAGAAAAGTGGAGCCCTGGGGAGGGTTCTGTGTCCCTAGAAGAGGAAGGGACTCTGGGAGACCGAAACCCCAGAGTGTCCTTTCCAGACCCCAGGCTGCTGACTCCTGCTTTCCATCTTCCAGCCTTCAGAACCATGAGAAATAAATGCTTCTGGTTTCAGGCATCCTGGCTACTACTTGGTGACTAAGAAGGCACTGACCTAACGGTGAAAACAGCAAGTGTCCCTCAGCATCTCCTTTTTACAACCCTGTCCTGTGTCATTTACGCCAGGAAAAGTGATGAGCACAACCACGGAGTAGGCAGCGGTTCAGGCCCAGGTGCAGTCCCCGACCCCAAGCGCTGACACCCATTGGGCCCCCCACCCCCACAGTTATTTACTTAACACTAAATGTACCTGACTTTATTCATTTATTTACTTTTGGAGTTCATTTTTCTCGGAAAGGCAATTTAGTAGAGACCAGTGGTTCTTAACTGGGGCGGACCCACCCCCCACCCCCGCCACCTGGGACACACGGCAATGCTTGGAGGCATTTTTTACTTTCCTGACCAGAGATGCTGCTGAATGTTCAAGAGCGCATGACAGCCCTCTACACCAGAGTTAGCTGGCCCCGAACATCGGGGATGCTGAGGAGGGAGAGCCCTGGTACGGGAGCGATACACACAGGATTTAGAGTCACGGCCCTGGGAAGGCTGCTTAAACAAGATGTTTTCTCCGTGTAAAATGGGTATAGTCCTGTGACCCGCTTTGCAGGATTTCTGAGAGCACTGGGTGAGTCATATTCCTACACCGTGCCCGGCACTGTGTACTCAGGAATGGCGCCCACTGCCGGTTAGGATTCCTCTTTAAAGGACACCTTGTACTGCTGCATGAATGGGGAACACCTGTCACTTGCCGTAACAACAGGCAGTGGACAAAGAAATGCACCATCGTCAGGACAATGCCGTTTGCTCAGGCATCAGCAGTTGTCCCCTTGAGGCTCGTGGGTGCACTGCACGGCTGTGCTGGTCCCTGTGGGAATCCTCCGGCTCATCCCGGGAACTCCACCGCTCTCCCCCTTACAGTGGCGCGTTCACCTTCGGACACTCACCACCCACGTCTAGAATGAGCTGCGTGCCAGCCTGGATCCTGCATTAGAGTTCGCGCTCCCTGGGGATCACAGCGCCGCACGCGGCTGAGTCCCAGGGCCAGCGAGGCGAGAGCTCCCGGAAGTGCTTGCTGAGTGAGTGCACTTCCTGCTGACAAGGCCTATGGCACGCACGCACTTCTGGGAAACTGAGGTCAAAGTATCACTCCTGTGGACGCCCTTCTCAATCCCCAAAGATAAGGGTTTACAACACTAGAAAGTGATGGCAGATTCATTGCCAGCTCACAGGCTGAATTTGGTTAATGAATATTTTGCTTGGCTGAAGTCTCTGAAAATTGAGAAAATTTTCATGTAAAAATCCATATTCTTGGCTTCTCTTGAAAAATCAGGATATCTGGCAACACTTGGCCCCAGTTCCAACTGGGAAATGGCTGTGCCCTTCGGGCAGGGCCTGCAGGCTCCAACCCACCACGTCCTCACTGTGCCCTGTGGGCTAGCACCCACCCACCCACCGCATTTCACTCTGTCTTCCCGCTTGGCCTCTAGGACGACGCACAGGAAAGCAGGAAGAGCCGAATACATTGCTTTTTAAAATGACCACCCCTCCCGGAAGCCCAGGCCCTAGTAGAGGCAAATGGCAGTACCCATGTTTATGGATTTCCAAATGGCAACCCATTTCTAATCCTGAGTGGCAGGAGGCACCAGGGACACGTCCAGGGGACACACACGCACGCACACACTCTCCTGCAGGGATGGGAAAGTTCACAGGCGCCCAGGGTGGGGAGAGAACCCACTGGAAGGGGGCCCCCTCCTAACAAGACGGTATCCACCCCACTCATCTTCGGGAAAGCTAGTTCACAGATCGGGATCTGGAGAACTGGGCGACACGTGTGTTTGATAAAAATGACTGGGTTTTAGCGTATGGAGTGTTTTCCACTTCACCTAGAGTTGGAACCCATCTCCCGAGGCAAAGCCTGCCAGCATCCCTCGGAGGCATGGGAATAATCCCTCTTAGGCGCTTCACTGAGTGATACCGCTTTTCAGTTCTGCAGCTTTAGCGTTGCCACCAAAGACAAGAGGAAAAAAAAATGATATTCTGTTTGGCAGGAGATGGAAGTAAAGGAACATTCTTCCCCCAAGTCCCACAGGGCTGCTGCCGTGAAACCCCAGCCTGTAATCACCTCTTCTCTCCAGGAACCTTCTCTCCACCTCCCCGGGTTCCTTCTACAGAGGGCCAGTGCCTCCTTACTGCTCTCCCTCGTGCCTGTCTCCGCTGTGTTTCCTGTTCCAGCAGCCTGGACTCGGGGGGGACAGCAGGCACTGCAGGGATGGTTCCCTCCAAGCCAGAGGCCGCACAAGGCTCGCGGCCGGAATGTGTTACATGCAGAACAGACACATTTTCCCCTGACCTCTAGCCTTGCTAAGACTCAATCTGATGTGTGTGGGTGGACAACTTGGCATCTCTAGACCCAGAGAGTCAAGTTCATCAGTCAGACAGAGCCTACAGCCCATGGACCAGTAACGTCGCTCTTCACCCTGCCTGTCCTCCACCCCAGAAGTTAGGCCTGTCCTCTCTAGGTCTACAGCACGGTGAGCTCTTGTGGTTTTGCTTCTGAGGGTTATGGATGATCAGACGGTTGGGTGGAGGATGCTGCTTGGAAAAGAGGCTGTGTGGGTGGAGGTGAGGGGAACTTCTGTGGGTGCTGCTATTCATTCATTGAACAGCCCCATGTTGGAGGCTGTGCTGGGTCTGCAGGTGCAGAGAGGGTAAGACAGATCCCAACCCTGTACTTATGGAGTTGACTTTCTGGGGAGAGACAGTCTCCAAATAAGTGCAGCAATGCCTGCTGGTTGTAGTGAGAGCCGTGATGGAACAGTGCAAGATGACAGATGGAGAATGACACGGGCTGGTGGCAGTATGAGCTGCAGGCGTCAGGCTGAGCTTCTTGGAGGAGGGGACGTGGGGCCGAGCCTCCTGGATGAGAAGAGCTATCCTGTGCGTGCCGGAGGCAGGCGTTGCCAGGCAGAAGGAGCAGCAAGAGCTTGTTCCCTGACACGAGAGGGGTTTGCATGGTAGAGACCAGAGAGAAGGCGTAAGGTGGGAGGAGATGCACTGGGCCGTCTGCTGGTTCCTCAGTAAGGGCTTTATTTTGTGGGGTGGTGCTGTGTCAGGGGCTGACTGTGGAGCGGGGGCGGCGTGCTGTGGGACACAGTAATCCAGTGTGCGCAGGGGGTGCAGAGACCTGAACGGATTCAGGATGAACTCTGGAGGAAGAGCCAGCAGCACTTGCAGAGGGACGGGGCTTACGCGGAGGAGAGGAGGAAAGAATGAGGTGATTCCAGCAAGCCACTTGCCAAGGCAGGGCTGGGGAAGGTACAGCAAGGGTTCTCCAGCACCTCGAGAGAGGGCAAAGCTTTGCCACCCTGACTAAGCAAGGTAGACCTCTGACTTCCAGAACTGTGAGATTAGTTTGGGTTGTCTTAAGCCACCCAGTCTGTGGCAACAGGAAATACCAAGAGGGGATGGTGCAGGTAAAGCCAGCTCACCTCCCTGGGGGACACCTGGTGACTTCCCCTCACCAGAGAGGCAGAAGAGCCCACTGGCTCTGAAATCAGGAGACTTGGGCTCAAGGCCAGTTGCTATGTGACTCTGGGCAAATTGTGGAGTTGGCTAAGCTTCAGTTTTCTTGTCTATAAAACGGGGATGAAGAGAGCTCCTACCTTGTTGAGTGAGGACAAGAGCAGGTGACAGAGGGATCCTGACACACAGTGAGCCCTCAGCGGATACCAGCTGTGTTGCTATTAGCTGAGGAGAGTCCCCACCCACACCCGCCAGCCAAGGGTGTTTCTTCCTCTGACCTGACCCCTGTCGATATGAACCCGGCATCATCTGCACCCAGAGCCTGGGACTGGAGGAGTACAGGCTCGTGCTGACCTCTGGAAGAGCCGCAGTAGGCCTGAAGGAAATGAAGGATGTGGCCACCTTAGGACCCAGGAATCCCCCTCCTGGGTCTGTTTTTCAGACCCAGGGCCACAGAGATTGTGGCAGGCGCTGTTGGTGATAAATTATTTGTATTCAAATCTTTGATTCAGGGTTTGCTTGTGGGGAATCAGATCTAAGCAAGAAGGTACGGGAATGTCATCCTGTATTTTACTGCGGTGCCAGGAGGTCCTGGGTGTCCACCCTCGGGGAGTGGCCGAGTGAGTCACAGGAGATGCAGATGCGGGGCCCTGCAGGTGGCTCTGAAGTAGAAGCAATGAATGCAGTGTAGGTTTAGCAACACATTTAGCTATTAAAAATGCAGAGCCGGGGTGGGGGGAGAAGAGATGTAGTACGAAGGAGACTAACAAGCAAAGGCAGCCTAGCCCGGGTCAGGGACGAAGAGGGCTCTCAGGATGATGGGTAGTTCACACAACTCCGGTTAAACAGTGAAAAGAAGGCACAAAACCCACTGAGCCCTCAGCTCCCGAAATGCCCTGGGAGCTCAGTGGAGACCTGGATCTCTGGGGTCCTCCTTAGATCTCCTCACTCAGAGCCCCCTGCAGGGGCCCAGGAATCTGCATTTTTGGTAGGTTCTGCTAGGGATTCTGATGATACTGAGGGACCAGAGAGAAAAAGGGTACTGGGAATGCCCAGAGGGCCCAGGGGTTGGAGGCACTGAAGCTGCTCTGGGCTTTGGCAGGGAGCCCAGCTCTCTGTACCTCTGCCCACCTGCTCACTGCCCCTGGGGCCCTGGAGGACCCTGTGGTCCCACTTCATTAGAGGAGTAGAAGCCCTTTGCTTGCAGAAACATCTTGTGCACTGGGGTCACCTTGGTCAAACTGTCCTTCACCAGTCCAGAGACCCTTGGACACCCCTGTACCCGCCACCTTCTCCTCCTCCTGGAAGAAGACAGGGCTCACCGCTATGACCCAGGCTGAGGGGAGATTCCCAAAGGTCTGTGATCGTTTAACACATAAGGAGTCCTGAGTGGCAGCCCACGACTGAGGGGCCGACCTGGAGGGTAGGAGGGCAGAGTGGCGTGGGACAGAGATCCGAGACAGCCCTGGCTGGCCGTGGCTGATGCTCTAGTGAGGAAGACTGCAGCCTGAGCCAGCTGTCCACACGCAGAGACTCTGGCCTTGGAGTAGTTTCCTGCTGTAGAAAAGTATAAAATGAGGGCAAAGGCTCGCCTTGCAGCCTCTTCTGGGGTCGGGAGATGCAGGTTTGCTGCAGGATCCAGCAGCTGACCAGACCCCCACCCCAGGGCACATCCATCAAGGGCACAGAAGGGTTCTGTCAGCAGATACACTGATTGCAACTGCTACAATCCCTCTTGGGTCTCTTTGTAGGGTTGCAGTGAACTGCGGGCCTCTCTGGCCCCTGCGCCTCTGTCTAGGCTGCTCACCCCTTCTGAGAGGGAGGAGGAATGCAGAGAGAGTGCTGTATCCTCAGTGTTATAAATAGCAACCATCGGCCTCCCTCAACTGCAGTCACTAAGTGCCTGGGCGTTGTGCTAAGCCTTAACTGCAGAGCCTGTGTCCATTCCTGAAAGGCAGGCGTTCCCCTTGATGCTCCCATTTTACAGATGAGTCTGAGAAGTGAAAACTCACGACTGGTGACAAAATGATGAAGTCAGTGTCAAACCAGCTCTGCGAGACCCAAGCCGGGCTCCTCAGACCCTTGCATTCTATCCGGTTCCTGGGATGCGGGGCGGGCGGTGTCCACCACCTGCATCGAGCCAAGGGCTGGTGTGGGCTCTCCCTTTCTCTGGGCAAGCTCTCGGAAAGTCTCTGGGGATGGGAGGTGCGGACGGGGGCGACATCTCCATTCCTGTTTTGTATCTGCACAGAGCATGTGCAGAATCAACAGGATCCCCAGTTTTATCCAACTCTGGACTGCCACTGTGGCTGCTAGGGAGGGGATGTGACAAGGTTGGCAGAGTGGGAAGGCCATGGGGCTGTGAACCGAGGAGTGCAGGCATCCTCCCGGGCCTGGAAAGGGAAAAAATGGACACACCTTGCTTTTTAAATTTGGCGGTGGGGGAGGGTACCGGGAATAGAACTCATGACCTTGTGCATCTGAAACAGGTGGCAGAACTACTGAGCTAAATCCCTGCCCCACACCTTCATTCTGTGAGACATATTTTGGACTGTTAATCATCATCAACTGTAAGATGACAAATCCGTGAGGCTCCAAGTCATGAAATTTGTGTTAATGTGTGAAAGTGGGAAACAATCCCCAGACAACTTTCTAGAAGAAAAGTATTTCTTTCCCGAGTCCCTTGGGCCTTGGTGTCTTTCTCTCACACAACACTTCTCAGCCCGTGCTGACCCCCAGCTCCGAGGGGGACCCCGGGGGATCCTTCCATTTCTCCCTGCTGCTCATCCCTTTGCCCTGTGGGCTTCGCTGTTTCGTCTGTAAGGATTAAGGCTCCTGGCTGGGTTTACTGGTGTGGGAAGTCTTTCATAGCCATCTGCCCTCTGTCCTCCCCTAATCCAGTCATCCCAGACCTCAGCCTTGCTTCCTGTGAGCCGTGCCCAGGCGGATTAGGTGCTGGGAGCTGGGCTCTTCCCTACATCCTCACTTGCCTCTAAATGACAAAAAATGTCAATTCCACCCCCACCTGGCATGGCTGCTGGCAGAATGACACCAAATGCACGTCTGTCTTACCAGGAGGTGTTCAGAGGCTGGAGCCAGAACACCTTCTTGATTGGCCTCTTTGTAGCCGGAGAGGTGGGATTGCAGATTTAGTAGGCAAGCTGACTTGGGGAACAGTGCGAACCTCCGGACAGCGGGAAGGGAGACACCTGCTTACCAACTTCTTCTGGAGGGAGGGAGGGCACGGCTGTACGTGCTGTCTCTGCCTGGGGAAGTGCAGGTTGGAGATAAAAGTCACCATAGGGCAAGGGACAACCTTAGGCACAATCCAGACCCTGTCTGTGGTAAATTCACACTTTGTGCTGACTGTGTCCATCAAGTACAATCTGCTAGGTAATAAAGACAGCCAATAGTGACTGGTGATTGCAGACAGATTCTTGTTGCTAATTCTGTTTAGAGAGGCTTTACTAGCCACTGTTTTCCACCCAGAGCTCTATTTCTGGGTTTAATGAATCAACCAACTGTGGATTCTCAGACCCTTACTCCTAGGAAACCGGAAACACCAGCTCTTTATCTCAGGTTAGGAAGTGGATGTGGAGAAAGCCCAGGATGGGTTCCTTAGTCAGGTTTCAGTGGCTTTGCCTTGTACTCAGGAGGTATCTCTGTGCCCTCCTGTCTCTGAACAAAAGGGGCAGTGCCCTCACCTCTAGCTAGAACTAGCTGTCTGGTGCAGAGTTGAAGGCAGCTCCCAGATCTTGGCCCTGGCCCGGGCACTCTCGGGCACTCACAGGCTGGGTTCTTGTCCATGGGAGAACTCAGGTTGTCCTGCTGCCAGCACACTCACAGTTCCCTGTGGGCTCGGCGTGTCCCACGACAGACACTTTCCACTGGAACTGGACTGGCTTATTGCACACCGGATGAGAGGGGCCCTCAGGGCAGGGCTCACCTGGCTTTCACATGCATCTTCCGCATTCTCTGCATTAGGCAGGTGCCTCTGCAGAGCTCCAAAAGCCAGAAGACAGGAAGAGCTGTGGCCACGCAGAGCCCGAGACACCACCCTGGCCATGTGCCCACCCACGGCCCCCATCTCCAGCAGTGCCAAACTTCAGTATGAGGCTCCCTGTAGTGATCGGGGTGCAGTCATGCACGTGGGGGTATCAAGTACACCCTGGTGAATAAACCTCTGCTCAGATTCCTCCAGGCAGCAGCTGCCTCCCTCCCTCCTCGGTGAATCAGACCAGTTTCTGCTCCCTACTTTAACTCCCCCTTCCCCTGTTCTTAGCAGAGGAAGGGTGTGTCTGCACTCTGTCTCCGTCCTCTCTCCCACCTGGGTAACTCTGGTGCCCTTGAAAGGCCCAAGAAATGCCTTGTGAATGGGGGACTCAACTATAAGCCCTATTGGTGGTTGCTGCATTCATGGGTGACATTAGATCGGCCGTTCACAACCCCCCCACCTTCCTTCCTTTTAAGTCCACTTCTTCCTTTCCAAGAACCCATCCCCCCATGAACACACTAGAAAGCCAACCTTTCTATGCCCAAGCAGGCCGCGCCCCACCCAGGGAGGGCCTGAGTCTCAATCCCACGTCTCCCTAACTGGCAGCAGGGCTGCCCCGTCTTATTCTATCCTCATCCAGTCCCTCTCCTTCACTGTTCTCTCCCCAGCAGACTATCTCAATAAACGTTGACTGAGTGAAGAGTGAACGTCGTGTGCTTGGTGTGGTGAGCTCCCCACAGTAGGGGCTCAGCCAGGCTTTGTTCAGTCCAGGAAGGAATGAATGAACTCTTTTCCTTCCCCACCCAAAGGCTCTAGAGCCGGTGCCAGCAGGGCGCTCCTGGAGCTAAGGCGACCACCGCCTTCCCTACTGCGGCAGCAGGGTGAACTGCCCCACCACAAGCATGGAGCACACAGTAGGCGCTCAATAAATGCTTGTTGGGCTAATAGTTAATGAATGACCCAATCAGGCCCGCTGGTGTGGGTGTTGCATTCCGTGCCCAGCGATGGAGCGAGCGAACGACGCCCCTCCACTCCAACCTTCCCTTTACCCACAGACCCGGGAGGAAGGAAGCAACCTCCGCCCAGAGTCAGGAGGCGCCCCCTTTACCGCCAGGGTCGCCGGCCGGCCGGGACACCCCGCACTTGGCGCTCGGGGACCGCGGGGGTAACCGAGGAGATCGCACCGCGGAT